CTCATGAGGAAGTGGCTTAAGCTTCTCAGTGCAGTGCTTTAACCCGCTGCACCACCAGGAAGGGCCCTGTTTTTCATTTTTACCTTATTACAGTTGCTTTTTTTTTTCTGATCCCTTTCACTCCAGAATTAAATTTTTAAGTAATTTCCTCAGTTTATCTCCTAAATAAAAAAATCTATCTCTATCTCTTATTTTTCAGGTTCAATTAAGGTCACAAAATATTTCCCAAGCCCAGGTAAAGCTGTCTACGTAATTTACCACCAGTAATACTTGATTTATAATTTGTGGATTTTCTGTCTCTATAAATTAATTTTCTGTCTCAATAAATTATTCATAAAATTAGGTCTGTAGAAATACATATCTCTATATTTTTAGCCAGCTCAACAAATCTAAAAATGCTTTTCTCACATTGTTTCAATGTATGAACTGTTTTTTAAAAATAAAAATTAACTTATAAAAATAATCTTACAATTTACAAGGTAAAAGACAAAATTCTTTAATTATGTCTGCAATTTCACTATTACATTCTTCAGATAACACTGCTGGTTTTTTCAGATATTCCAAAAATGCTTTCTGCATACCAGACATCTGGATGGATAAGTAGAAGAGGGAAGAGGTATACATGTGATTAGAGACCCCCTCCTAGGGGTGCATATGGGAACAGGGGTAGGGTGTATGGGTACAGTGTGAGATATGGATGAATATGTAGGGAGCCCCTCTGCATACGGTACGATGGTGCACATGATGGGTGTAGGGGTGTGTGTGCAGAGTGTGTATTGGTGTAGGTGTGTGCACAGGTGTTTGCATGGGGATGCCCAGAGTTAAGAGTCCCACACGGGTGTTGGACAGAGGTCCCTAGGACCTTAGGGCTTCTCATTCCCAAAGCAAACCAACTAGCAGTTTGGGCCCTTGCCTAGAAGTACTGAACTCTCCCTTCTCCCCAAATTCCACACCCTGCTTGTCCGTAACCCCTTCCTCCCCTGAGGGCAGATGGAGAACTACTGGGGCCCTTTCCAGGATATATGTAAGATATATATGCCTTGAGTATATTCAAGTGTTCCTGTGGGAAGGAAGATTCAGAGTCTCCAGGGGCTGCAGGCCAAATGGGACCACTAATCTAGGTACCTGGATCCCCTGGGCTACCCTTCCACAACCAAGTCATTCTTAGACTGCTCTCCAGCCACACAAGTTCCTTTCTCAGCTGCTCTCCAGCCCAATTCCCTTCTACTTTTGAGTGCCTGCTCCTTTGAGCTCCCCCCTGGCCCGCTGTTCCCAGACTTGTGTAGATCTGGCTCCTTGTCTTTCTGGTGACAGCATATATGTCACTGTGGAGGCCTTTACCCCAGTTAGGGGCTACATCATCCTATCTTATTTCTCTGAAGCACTTGCTTTTTTTTTTTTTTTTTTAACTATTAAAAAAATAATAGTTTATTTCTTACATCATGTTGTGCCTTTTTCCATCTCAGTTGTAATTCCCTGGGGCGTCCCATCACCAAATCACCCATGTGCCATCACACGGGTGATTTTTTTTTTCCTGCACATGAATTTGCTTTGGTCCACCTCTCCGGACTGAACTCCTGGAGGGCCAGGACCGTGTGGTTTTTAGCACAATGCCAATGTTGAATGGGGTCCCTGCTCAGGGTAAGTGAGCAGAGCACAGCTGGTGAATGAACAGATGAGAGGAACTCGGAGCCCCTTTCTACCTTACATTCACTCCCCTTTTTGTGGGGACAGATGCCTGTAAAGGGAGGTGCACGTTGCACGGAAGCAGGAGATAGCCGTCATGTCTCCTGGCTGTCCCTTTCTTGAATCAGTGGCTCCATTGAGCACACAGGGCACACAGCAGCCCGACCTCTGGCGTCCAATGCTAACACTACAGCAGCAGGCTGTGAACCAGAGAAGGAACCTTTTGGGGATGGAGGCTGTGCGGTTCCCAGGACCCAGAGGATAAAAAAGCAGGACCTGAGGACTCCAACGAGGATGTAACTTCGGTTATTCCGTGCTTCTTGCCCCCCCCCCCCACTCACTCCGTCCCGGAGTGTCCGGTTCACTCAGGAGGCAGCATCACCTCGCTAGAGTAATGACTGCCTCTGCCCCATTTCCTCCAACTAGAAGGGTTAGGTCTCTGGTCTCCTGTCCAGTGCTCGGCTAGATTCTACACTACCCAGTTTCTCAGTTCCAATCTGCCCTCTGCTTCCAGGGACCCAGGGGATAGAAAGCATTTCGCGAGGTTTCGGGAGCAACGGTCATAGACGGTGACCCAAGAGCAACAGGCTCTTCAATCAACCTACAAGACCCTCGGATCTCCGCCCAGAGCATTTCAATTAGTAGCGGAGGAATCAGGCCTCTTTCCTGTATGGGTATCCTGCAGTCGCCCACGACCCCATCCCCATCCCACCCAGTATCCCAGAGCGGGGGACAGGGACACATAGCAACTCTGACGCTGCCTGGGATTCCGCCAATCCAGCGAGCCTAGGAAATAAATCCCACCCACTAGCCCCGCCGCCAGTAGCCGTGTTGCTAGGAGACCACAGTCGCTGTGTTGCTAGGAGACCGCAAACTGGGCCCCCAGAGGTCTGGGCCGCTGCGCCAGGCGCGTGCGCACTTGCACTCCGCAGGGCCCGACACCCCTCCGGTGCCCCACTCGCGTCTCGCGGCCTCCAGCCAATGGAAGTGTCCACCGACAGTCCTGCCCGCTAATCCAGGTTTTCGCCGCCCGCTCCGCTCGCCAACTGGGCGCCGGCGGCGGGTGGCGTCCCTCGGGGCCTACGGCCGCCAACACTTGGCCTAGGGAACGTGAAAACGATCCCAGTCTCGGGTCTGGTGAGGAAGGTGAGGTGGCTGCTTGGCCGGGAAGGGGAGGTGCTTCCCTCACTGCGGAGAGCCTGGGTCCCCTGAAGGACACGTGCTGGTCATCCGCACATTGTCACAGGCCAGCTCACCTGTACCTCCCTCGGACCCCTAGTCTGTGTTTGCAAGATGCAACTTTTAGATACCAGATTTTCTGAAAATGGGGATTAGTCCAATGGTATTGCGTATCGAGGCAGATTATAATCATTTCTAAGGAGAAAAGGTCCTGAAGCTTGCGTTAGAGCAGAAAGCTAGATCAGAACAGCAGCATGACTCCACTGGCGTTGCCCACAGGTGTTAAAAAGAAACTTTGAAACTTCCTTGTGTAAACCTGATGGTGGAAGCAATTTGGACCTTTCTCTACATTGGACTTCCTAATTCCTATCCATGATTTGAGACACAACACTAAAGTCTTTGACAAAAATCCTTTTAAATTTATCCTTTGGTTAAAAAAAAAAAAAAGACATTTGCTTAAGAAGTCACATGGAAAGTTTTTGCGTGAGTAGGAACTTAAATGGTGAACCCCTGCTCATCAAAATATTATTCAAGTTATTTTTTCTTCTCCCTTATTAACCCCAAAGGCCAGGGATGTGGTTATATTCATCGTGGTTCTGAGCATTCAGCCAGGGGCATGCATTTGTGGGTGTTCTGTGAACACTGGATGGATTAAACTGTCTTGACTCCCTTGCCTGCCTTTAATTCTGTCTTAATGAAATAAGTCTTTTAGCTCTGGTGGGAGCTCCAGATGATCTTGTACAAGGATAAAGAAAAGCTGTGAAAAATGTGCCGGAGGGTAAAGCATTCCTTTCTTAAGAAATGTTCCAGTTCAAATCCTTAGAACAGAATTAATTATAATCACTGTTCCCAGATCCATGCAGAAGCTTGTTTTCACGTGTAGCTATTTTTTTTTAACAGTGTAGCATTACAAATTAATCATAAGCCATCTATTACCCCAGAAATGCTGAGTCAACAACCAACCAACCAAAAAATCACCATGCTTTTTGCTAGAGCACTTGGTGTATTGCATGAAGGTGGTCAGCTAGTCAGCTCTTTGAATGTTGCCTCGATTGTTTTGTTTGTTTGTTTTGGAATTTTCCTATTTCACTTCATTTTTCTAAATTGTCAGCGTACAGTTACTAACATTATTTTCTTATGTGTTAAGTCTCTGTTTTTCATGTCATTGGTGATTGCATAAGTCTATTATCTATAAAGGTTTTTCTATTCTGTTAATCAGTATTAATGGGAATCTTACTGAAATTGTGTTAAGTTGGGGGTACTCATGGGGTAAGAGCATTGTCAATCATGTTGTCAGAATTAGTTTCTGCATTTGGTTCTATGTATGTTCTCCACATGTGTGTTCAAGTAGTCCATAGTCAAGGTATAGATATCTCTCAGAAGAATCCTTCTATAACCCTCCCAACTCTGCTGCCCACATCCCTCCTTTTATATTCCAGCTCTATAGAGACAGTAAACTTGCATATATTTAATGTATTCAAGGTGAAGATATATATCGATCACATTTTCTGTATCCACACATCCATTGATGGGCACCTAGGTTTATGATGGCTGCTTTATAATCTTTTCAGATAATTCTAATATCTTGGCCCTCTTCCTGTAGGTATCTTTGCTTATTATCTGTTTCCATTCAGTTTGATCCTTCCCCTGTTCTTGATATTATGAGTAATTTTTAATTGAAAAATCTGGATCATCTGGGTTTTATTAAATAGTTTTAGACCCATGTAAAAGGTGTAACAATTTAGAATGAGATAAATTCAGAGAACAAACAAGAAAAACACCTAAGAAGGGCAAACTAGTAGAAAGCTGGACTTTGAAAATTTGAAATTGTACTAAATGATTTACTCTTTTTGAGAGCCCCACATCCCTTGGGATCACTTCCAGGAATACCAGTATCTCAGTGGCACAAGAAAGCACAAAATAAATTTAAGAAGGCTGAACAGCAGTAGTGAGGTTGTTGGAGATTATCTTTACTTTGTAGAATAAAGATTGTGTTTATTTCATGATCCTGTAACTTCCACCAGATTGTGACTGATGAGGCTAAATGACGTGGAATCAACAGGGAATGTTTCTTGAGATATTCTCCATTCAGCAACCAAAATTAAAGAATTCTGGAGTTACCATCGATACTGTTGCTAGTAGTCATCATTAAATGGATAATCTGGATGCTGAGCAAATCTAAAATATGGACACAGTATCTTAGACAAGTAACTGTTTTTGGACTGAGAAAGCATACGTTTCTTTTAATTTGGCTTAAATATGAAAATTAATGTGATCTTCCTTTTGGAGAGTTAAAAATCCAACTAGGGGGATAGTAACATACTGTCATTGCATTATACTAAAATGAGTGCACTGTAAGAAATAATATATGCATATGGACACACACACAAATAAATATTTATCTTTAAACTTAAGGAGATGAACTATTTATGATGATACTTTAAGCACCCAGAAGGACAGAAATGAAAACAATGCCAAACTGGCTTAATATATAAAGTTAACAAATATTTCATTTTACTAGATAAAAATTTAAGCATTAGTCTTAGAGATGGAGAATACTGTAAAATCACCTCAACACAGAACTTCCACTAACAAGTATCTATCATATAGACAGAAATCTTTTGATATGTCTTATATCTAGTAATAATTTTGCTACACGATAGCTGATATTAGCAGGTATCAGTTATGGATACTGATAATGATTACTGCCTGCTTCTCTCCCTTAGTCTTGTCGCTGTCATTTATTATATTACTCAGTCAAACAACTCTTGTTTATTACTCAGGAAGAGAGTAGTTTTTTAAAAATCCTTCCCTTGGAATCTAATATTCTATAGTAAACAGAAAATACACTAATTTAATTAATAAGTTATGAGGTATTAATTAGGGATAAGGGTTAAGAGGAAAATTAAGCAGACAAGAGAGGAAGCAGTGGCATTTTTACATAGAGTGACAGATAAGTTATTACAGAGGTGCTACTTGAGTTAAGACTTAAAAGAGGTAAACGGGTGAATGCTCAGCCATCTAGAGGAAGAATATTCCAAGCAAAAGGCCATCCAGTGCAAAGGCCCTGAGACAGGTATGGCATAGGTGAGAAATCGCAAGGACCCTGTGTCTTTGCACTGGAGTCAAAAGGACAGAGTAGTAAGATGTGGAGGCAAGAATATGAGGGAGGGAGTATCTTGCCAGCCTTGTAGATTTTTTATGGAATGTGGCCTTTGAGCAGGATGTGAGGCTGCAAATACCATGAAAAGCAGTTATTTAATTGTACCCTCTTTTGAACCTATGCAGATGAAGCACAGAAGCACAAAGAACCAGTAGCAATCAGTTACTCAATCAGATGGCTTCCATATAAGCATATTTGGTGTGTATGAGTTCAGTTTACATGGCCAACTTTTAGGTGCTTATTAGACACCCTAGTGGAGTTGAGTAGATGGACATACAAGTCTTGATCCAGGGTCTGGACTTAGGCCTGGGCTGTATATGTCTTTGGAAGCTTATATGTAGGTACTGTTTAAAGCATGAGATTGGATGTGAGTGTAAATAGGAAAGAGGCCCAAGGATTGAGAAGTAGATCACTCCAGAGTTAAGAGATCAGTTTGATAAGGAGACACCTACAAAGAACATGAGAAGGATCATAGATGTTGAATTCTGTCAGATGCTTTCTTAGCATCTGTTGATACGATCATGTGATTATCATTTTTCTTTTTGTTGATGTGGTAAATTATGTTAACTGATTTTTGGATAGTGAGCCTTTCTTGTATCCCTGGAATAAATCCCACTTAGTCATGTATAATCCTTTTGATGCATTGTTGGATTTGGTTTGCTAAAATTTTATTATGATAAATTTTAATATCTGTGTTGTTTAGGAAGATTGGCCTGTAGTTTTCTTTTTCTGTATGTGTCTTTGTTTGGTTTTGGTGTTAGTATGATGTTGGTCTTGTAAAATGTATTTGGAAGTATTCCTTCTTTCTCAATTTTTTAAAATCAAGATAGGTATTAGTTCATCTTTGAACATTTGTAAGAATTTGCTTGTGAAACCATCTGGTTCAGGGCTTTTGTTTTTTGGAAGAGTTTTGATTACTATTTCAATTTCCTTGCTTGTAGTTGGTTTGTTCAGATTTTCCATTTCTTCTTTATTCAGCCTTGGGAAATTGTATAATTCTAAGAGCTTGTGATTGTTGAACTTTTTTGCATATAAATGTTCATAGTAGTCTCTAATTGTCCTTTGGATTTCTGCTGTGTCTGTTGTAACTTTTCTCCTCTTTCAAATATGAACCTATTTCTTTGCATTTTCTCTGTCTTTTTCTTTGTGAGCCTCGCTAGAGACTTGTCTTTTTTTCCAAAGAACTACCATTTGGTTTCATTGATCTCTTACTGTTTTTTTTTTTAATTTCTACTTAATTTATTCCTGTTTTAATTTATTTCCTTTAAAGAAAACTATTTTCCAACAACTTTCCTAAGAGAAACAGCAAGAGTGGACTGGAGTAAACTGAATTCCTTCACTATCCTGCTTGCAGCTTGGACAATGGAATGAGTTACTCACAAAAGATCTTCCAGATAGCGAATGTTTCTGTTTAAGCTGTCTAGTTTATTCATATCCTCTGGTGACAACTGGAAATCAAACACCTATCAGAAATTTGAGACAAACAGTTCAGTTTTCCTGAAGAAGTACTCAACACACAGAAACAAAAATATACATAGCTATGTAGCAATTTAGGTAGGTTTTTATGAGACAGTTGTCATGAATCTGGGTTTCATTCCCTGACAAAATTCATGAGCATTTACCCGTTCAGATAACTGGCAATTCAGATTGCCCTGAGGGCTTCTATTGAGTGACTATGGCTGTAATAAAGGAATTCTAGAGACTTTTGAGCCCAAATCTCATCTGATTTGCTCCTTCATTTTGCAGCTAAAGAAATCAAGTGATGATTTCCCCAGGTCTTACTGTCAGGAAAAAAGCAAGATTCGGATCCAAACCTTACCCTACGTTTAGTGTTCTTTCCCATCACTATGTTCCTTCCTGTAGCAGCTGCGGGATACCATAGTTAAATATGCACACGGTGTACAGGGAGATGACCTTAAGCTTCAACATACTGTAAGAGCCTCACAAATAACCACATACCTGGGGAAAATGTTGCCCACAGCCCTACCCAGTACCTGGAAGTTCTCTTTGATTCTCTTCTCGTTGAAGCTCTTGGCCAGGACCACCACGCCCCGCTGAAGCTGGTAGCGTAGGGCCACCTGGGCAGAAGTCCTCATGTGCTTTCCAGCAATGGCTTTGATCACTGGATCCTCCAGGAGGGGCGGCTTATTCTTGGTCACCCTGGGAAAAAAGCCAGAGGTGCTCTGTATGCCAGTATCCATTTTACCTCAGGGCTGTTTAGTCAGGCTAGGAGAGATTAATCCTCTAGGAGAGATTAATCGTCCTTACTCTCCTCTGATTGCCTTAATATTTATCTTGCTGCTTTTGGCATATCCAGGAAGGGGAAGGGCAAGAGCAATTAAGGCAGGAAGGGAAACTCAGGCTTTTTCATTTAAACATTGCTGAGAAACTGTGTACATGATTGAATAAATCAAGAAGAGAACAATGGTTGTCCAAAGTAAGAATGCAGTAACTATAAATAACCTATACAAATTAATTCTAAATGTTTATATTTATACTTATATTTTATATTTATACTTATAAATATAAAGAACCAATCATATAAATTAGTTTGCTGTTTCAAAAAAAATTCCTTCAATTAATTCTCTCAATTTTGTCACATAATTTTATTCTTCTTGAGGAATTAAAGAAACTACAGCTTACATAAGTTGTTACTATTTTCATATTATTCCGCCATTAAGAATCCAAATATGGCTTGGACTTCCTTTGGCCAAGACTTTTGAATTATTGATAGATATATATTTTAAACAGTAACTTTATTACTTTATTGTTCAGTTGCTATACTGAATCCTTACAATCCTTACAAGTCTGGGCTAGGTAGGTAGCAAGTTTTACAAAGATTAATTATTTCCTGTCTCTCCTTAATCCTACTAGACAATGGGGAAATGACTCCAGAAGGCTCAGATCTACAATTAGAATAATTTTTGGATAAGATTACCAGTCCTTTCTTGCATCGGATCCCAAGGCAGCAAATGCAGTCAAGATAATGTCATTGGATTTACAGAACTCCAGAAGTTTGTGCTGGTTCAGGTAAGGGTGGCATTCCACCTGTAGAAGTATTGGATTAGAGGACCGCCAGCACCAGACTCATGAGGAACACACCATGTTGATTGCACAGTATCAATTATTTAAGAGTGCCAGCTACACATGCCAGCCCATGACCATCAGCCAACAGAGCTCCCAGAAACATAACTAGCTTATTGCCCAGAGATAGCATAGAAAACATTATTTAGCTCTGTGTTTATGGGGGTCAAGTTCAGATTACAGGATCAACAGATATTCACAATCTTTCAGACTGGAAACTGTGGTGACATTCTTGGGTCTTGCTCATTTGTTTTTCATACATAATAGGCATCAGTTTTTGCTTCTGTTTGTTCATTACTCAGCTCTCCTTCTATTTGTCTATTCTCTTCATCTGTGCTTAGAAACCAATATGTTGTCCTTGAAATTTCAGGAATTTTTTTCATTAGACCATTCTTTGGTTCCAGAAACTAGAATGCTTCCTTTTTACCCACCACATTGTATGCCCTTACTTGACCTTTAAGCTCTTCCAAAAACAGATCTGCTCTAATCCATTGAGCCCAAACCCACCCCCAAGCCTCAGTCTTACCCTATGTGCTAGGCATTTGGAAATGCTTCTAGCTCTTTGCCAGCAGGTAGAAATAAATTGCTAATTGTATTAGTCAGAAACATTTATTTGTGTTGTGATATTCACACATAACTCATAAAAGAGGTGTCTGTGCTATAAAATGTTGTACAAGGCGCTCTAATCTTACTTTCTAGTTTTTCTATGAACATGAAGAATCAGAAGTCTAGAACCTTTTGCAGTAAATTTTAGCTACTTTTCTGCTCTCCTGTCTGGATGATATGTGAAGCAAGACCACTGCCATAGCCTTGGTGATCTGGAGGCCCTCTTAGCTCTGGGCACTAGAGGTGAGTGTACTTAAAAGTAGATAGATCAACTTTATTTTTGTAGAACAATTTTAGGATTACAGGAAGAAGCAATCAGAAACTACAAGTTCTGGCCCACCCTGGTAGTGCAATGGGTTAAAGCACAGCACTGCAAGATAGCCACAGCCGCTTCAGTGTGAGTTCTATCTCCAGCCCCAACGTGACCCTCATGGTGCGGCAGACCGCTCCTGACCCACCCACTGCTCCCCTCAGCAGTGTACTTTGTTAATCTGCCTGTTCTGCTTCCATTCTTTCTGGTGAATCCTTTCACTGCCCCTGCACCTCTGGCCTGCACCCATGTTCTGTATGCATAAATAAGTAAAAACCTTCAAAAAAAAAAAAACCACTTTTAAAAAAAGAAATGACATAGTTCTTAAAACTCTCTCCTCCCCTCCCCAACTCCAGACTCTCCTATTATTTGCATCCTGTATGAATAGGATATATTTGTGAATCAATATTGGCATATTACTATAGGGTTCACTCTTGATATTGTATATTCTCTGGGTTTTGACAAATGTGTAATGACAAGTACCTATTACTACACCATACAGAATTTTTTCACTGCCCTAAAAATCCCTTGTACTTTACTTATTCATTCCTCTTTTCCTTTTCAAGAACCCCTGCCTTGGTTCCAAGACCCACTGATCTTTTCTCTTTTTTTGGCCTTGAGAATCATCTCCAACAACTTAAGATGCATTCTGTTTCTTGAAGAAGTTGATATCCAAAGGTGCAAATATATATGAAAGAACACTTTTGGTGTTCTTGTTGAAACAAGGAAGGAGTAAACTAAAGAGGAGAAGGAAAAAGAAATTCAGAAGAGGGTTGGGGCGGGGCTCACCTGGTTACAAACAGGTTTGTACTTAAGTCCTGGTTTGTGGAGGATTTTCTCTATCTGCCTGTGGTTAAAGTTGGACACACCAATGGATTTGACCAGTCCTGCATCCTTGCACTTTTCCAGGATCTGGGGAGGAAGGGATGGTTAGGAGAAGTGTAGAAATGGCATCATGTTGAAGGTGGGCCTGGGAATGGGAGAAAATATGAAACAGGGCAGGAGAAAGAAAACCTCTAAAGATGCAGACATCAAAACATAAAACTGGTACTGACTGGGAAGGAAGTAGATGAAAAACAATAGAAAAAAATGGTAAGAAGTTAGAGTAGGGAAAAATGCAAGTAGCCAAGAAGAATAAAGGAGCCCACGTGATCTTTAGCTGAATACCTAGGGGTATCTGACGAAGCACTGGCAAACCTGTCACTGCTGTGACTGAATGTACTTAAAATAGAGCCAGGTGCAACGTGGGCAACAGGCAGGTGGCCACGTCCTTGCACCAGGCTGCCACTGCTTGTTTTCTCTGTGAACTTATTTCCTATTAGAAGCCAACAGGCTCCCCTGTTCTAGTCACACACAGCCCTTTGCTGTTTCTTGAACATTGTCAATTCTCTCCCACCTTAAAAATTTTGACTTGAGGGTCCTTCCTGGTGGCGCAGAGGGTTAAAGTGCAGTGCTGTGAAGCTAGCTGCAGCCATATCAGTGAGTTCGATCCCTGGCCAAGGAGGTGACCCACATGGCATGACAGACTTCTCCTGTCCTGTCCACTGCTCCCCTCAGCAGTGTATTTTGGTCAGTCTGCGTCTTTTGCTCCCCTCTGTCTCTGGTGAAATCTTTCACCACCCCTTCACCTCTGGCCTGTACATAAATTAATAAATCTTTAATTTTTTTTGACTTGACCTTTTTTCTGCCTATGTCTCTCTTCCTTCAGATAGCCACATAGTCAGTTCTTTCATCTCCTCTCTTCACGAAGAGGTCTAGTCTACCCACTTTCTTTAAATTGCCTGTTTGAACCCAAGTCCATGGTGGCATGTGCTTTTCAGTTCTCCTACTCAGTCTGCAGTTCCCACACCTCCATCCCTTTCAGAGCACCTGCCACTTGTGGGGGTCAGAGACCTTGGTTTTCTTCTATGACAATTCCTGAGTTTGAGACTACTGAGTGCATCATAGGCACTCAGTAAGTATTATTGAACAATTTAAAAACAAGGGAAATGTAAAAACCAAGGCAAAAGGACAATCAGACTCTACCCAGGGAGAAGAACAGAACTAGATCCTGAATACTCACCAGCCCCCTCTCCCCTGATACACAGACATGGCCCCTTTGAACTTGTACTTACCTCCCACGTGGCACAGATATCCACTCTGTCAAAAATAGCATTTCCTTGTGTATCCATGGGGATAAGCTCCTTCCCAGGCTGAAACACAGGAAAAAAGGAGAGTTTGTATGAACTCTCAGTCAAGCTGTTTGTAGCCCATGGCCCTTGGGGCTAATGGAACAATCCATTCTTATTCTAGAAAAGCATTGCAAGGTTAGGCTAAAAGGAAAGGAAGTATGTTGAGGCAGAACACTTCCGGAAATGTTTTAACTGTTTGTGTCAGGACCAACTTGAGACACCCAGGACCCAGAAAAAGAGCAAGCCGGGAGGAGCCATGGAACCCTGTGGGATGAGCTTGCCCACCCCTGCAAGTTGAATGCCACTTGCTGAGTGTTATCCTCACTGCATTTTGGGAATGTCCACTGGCCTCCATATTAGCCATTCCCCAGACACCAGTGGGCATGGGGTTGAGACTCTTGAAAATAGAAGGAGTCCACAAGACTGAGCGATGACTTGAGATCTGTGACTCCTTGTCACTCTGGGACTGGCATAGTGATCTGAGATGGAAATTGTTAAAGCAAAAAAAGGGGGATCTTAATCTATTATATGCATTTGCAAACTATCTTCTCCCATACTCAGGTGTTTATTTTTATGTTGATAACCAAAGTAAAATAATTAACCTTCAGACCTCCTGGGAAATGAATAAGATAAAGATCCAAATAGCTCAGCTGAAGTTTCTTCAGTGTCATTTCCAGGCCAGTTTGTACCAATTCTGGACGTAAAAAGGTACTCCACAGCTGGAGAGGCAGAAAGAAGAGTATGGGATCACATCTTCTAAGAATCTTTAGGAGCAAATAATAAAATAAAAATAACAAACAACCAAAAACCCACTGACAGTTCATGGGAAGTGACAAGTCACTCTTTGAAACTCGTAATCATCATATAGCTGACTTTCAGACTGAATTAAGACAATATGTAAAAAATGAAACTATGGTCCTATACAGGGTTCTCAACTTTAGACTATAAGTATTATATTTTTTTGTGCAAAAAAACTGTCCTGGGCTTTACCTTAAGCAGTTAAGTCACTGTCTGAGGTAGACTGGCTGGGATTGTAATTCAGGAAATTCTGTCTTAACTCTTTTAAATAGGTTTTCCAAAGAAAAGAAGACATACTAGGAACTTATGGGGGGATGCTTTTATTGCATCATATTAAGAAGTAATAATATAAAGAAAATTACATTAAAATCACTAAAGGAGGCCCTCCCTGGTGGTGCCAGCGGGTTAAAGCACAGCACTAAGAAGCTAAAGCCACTTCCGCATGAGTTCTATCCCTGCTTGCCCCGGAGGTGACCACATGGCGCTGCAGACCCCTCCTGACCGCCCACTGCTCCCCTCAGCAGTGTACTTCGTCAATCTGCCTGTTCTGCTCCCCACTCTGTCTCTGGTGAAGCCTCTCGCTGCCCCTGAGCCTCTCACCTGTACTCCAGCTTTGTATGCACAAATAAATAAATCTTTAAAAAAAAAATCACTAAAGGAGGCCCTGCCACGTGGTGCAGTGGGTTAAGGCACAGCACTGCAAGCTGGCAGCAACCACTTCAGTGAGAGTTCGATCCCCAGCCACGAAGGTGATCCACATGCCGCAGCAGACCTCTCCTGTCTTGCCCGCTGCTCCCCTTAGCAGTCTGTCGATCTGTCTGTTCTGCTCCCTATTCTGTCTCTGGTGAATCCTTTCACCACCCTGTACCTCTAGCCTGAACCCCAGTTGTATGCATAAATAAATAAATCTTAAAAAAAAATCACTGGATGTGGTACATATATACAATGGAATATTACTCAGCAACCAAAAAAGAGAAACACATGTCTTTTGTGGCAACTTGGATGGAGCTGGAAAAGATCATGCTTAGTGAGATAAGCCTGAAAGAGAAAGAAAAATACCGGATGGTTTCACTCATAGCAGGAGTATAATGGACCAGGCGAGAAAATAACAAAAATAATGAACAACCATATACCAGAGACATTTTGCAGGGGTGGAGTGGGTAATGGGATCAAAAACGGGGGGTGGGGGGTGGGGAGGGAAGTGCAAGGGATTATGGTGATGGCACGCGGGTGACTTGGTGACGGGAAACCCATGGGGATTACAATTGAGATGGAAAAAAAATGTACAAAATGAATGTAAAAATAAACTGTTATAAAATAAAAAAAAATCACTAAAGGAAACAAAAGAATCTTACAAAAAAAAAAGGATTAAAAGATGAGAATGGGAAGGCCAGTGCTGTCACGGTACCACCATCTGATGTCATGTGAAGCCACGTCTGGGGCAGAAGGAGGAAACACCACTGTCAGACCAGCTTGCATGGGTGCATTTCTGGATTACATGGGCCTCAACTCTTGGGTTATTTCACTTCAAATTTAATTTCTTTTTCTAGCAGTGGATAGTTCATTGCACAAAATGGAAGCAATCCTTTTGGGTTCCCATTCCATTCTGACTTAAAATATGTGTTTTCTTTGTGTTAGAAAAGGTGTCATTTTGTTTGGAGAATATTAAGAGGAAGTAGTTCTTGATGTAAAAATTTACATAAGTACTTTTACTAACATTACTTTCATCCTCATCAGTTCCATGGTATTATTTTTTTCTATTTTATTGGAAATAGACCATGTAATAGATTGAGATATGAGGACCATTGTTCACATGCTTTAGTTAATAAATTTTAGACAATTATAAAAAAATGTTAAAGCACTAAAATTTGATCACAACCTCCAAAACTCACACTGTCTAGCTAAATTGATTCTTCATACTGTAACTAAAAAGCATGAAGTCACTTTAATAAAATGGGGGTGGTTCAGTGGACTAAGGGGGAGGATTATTAGTGCTTTGGTGGTGGATATGATGTAGTAATGTACATCTGAAATTATTTGAATTTGTATCATATAGTATTGTGAACAATGTTGCCTTAGTACAAAATGATGAAAAGGAAATATTAAGTGACTTTGTTAAATTTAAGTATAGGTTATTAGAAAGTCCAAATTCATAGCTGAGAGTCTATAAAATGTGATAATAATAACAGCTAGAATTTCATAGCATTTAAAATACATTAAATACTTTCATAAAAACTACACAGGCGCTAGTCATAAAAATTCCATGAGATCTTCATTTTATAGCTTGGAAAATTGAAGCACCAAGTTTAAGTAGCCTGCCCAACCAAGGTCATACACTTTGGTAGTGGCAGATGCTGGATTTAAATGTAGGGAATCTGATTGCAGAACCCTATTTCTAGCCACCATGTCATTATTTCATCTTCCCATACTGCGTGGTCTGAAATTGAATGAAAATTAAATAAGAAGAGAATTTGACAAGAAACTCTTAAGCTAAGAGTGGGTTTCTCACAGATACATATTCAACTATACACAGCACCTTTGAGGTGCAGAATAGGTCCTCTCTCTTCACAGTACCGCTGGCAATCTTCTTGTGGATGGCCCTCCCAATCTCTTCTTCGTTCATGTACAGGTGAGCTGAGTCAATATGACGATAGCCTATATCAATTGCCATCTCGGTGGCCTCTTCTGCCAGACTCTTAGAAACCTACAAGAGCATGGAAAGATGAAGACCTCCTTAACTCAGGAATAGATAAGTGCCCCCCATACACAGAGCTACTCAAACAGAACCTACTGCTGTTCTGAAGGGCAAGACCTAGGGGGTCACAAAGCTATGCTGATTTACGGCCACTGGAAAATTTTTGTAACTGACTCTGAAGAAAAGAAACCCTGATTTGTTGTATTTGCCAATTTGCCAATTTCTGTGGTGTAAATACTCCCACCGTGGCTAATTTCAAGCTACCAGGAAAAGCTGCTCACAGTGTGTTCATTCATTGGCCCCAGTTCTGTGTCTGGATTCATAATATCTACGTGATCTATATACATGATCTACATTGATTTACATTCCGAAATCATCAAAACAATGAAAACATTTTAGATAGAACAAATTAGTGATTTACCTGTGTAACCTGGAGAAACATTTAACCTGGAGAGACATTTTAAACATTTGAGAAAGAAAAAATATGTAAAAGAAAATAATCTTCTCACTCAAAAATATCTCATAATTCATTTTTTGGTTCTAGATGGGTGCTCAGGGGACACTTCTTCACAATTTTATTTTCCTTAGCTGCTTACTGTTGCACAATAGACTGCTGAGGTTATCCAGAATTTTTTCTCTCTAATACTCCTCACTACCTCACTCAGTCATTCAATGTATTTTAATTTGTAACTGCTGATGAGTTAATAAGTCCCATGGAGATTGTTTACAAGTTAAAGATGCAAGTCAAAGTGAAGGCAACACTTCATGCCCCTCCTTTCTGCAGTCCACAATATTATATGCCATGTAGAGCTTATGCTGGAGACTCAATCCTACAGCTTTCCATGAACCATTATAAACTTCTTCCAAGAAGCATTGACAACGTGCTCTTGTAAGATTGCACCGTTTGAGCGCCAGAAAGCTTACATGGAGTTTAGGCTTCCAAACAGAGAAAGGATTTTCAAATGTCACGTGGCTTTTCCCCAGGCCCAATCATAGCAACTAGATCTCTAAGACTGTGTCTACCCAGACCACCAAAACTGTCTCCAGTATCAATCTTGACTCTCCAGGTCCTCTTGCCACAGATTTCTCTGGGTAGTCTAATGGTTGGCAGGAAAAACTTGGGTATTAGAAATTACAAGGACACTTTCTCACAAGCAAGCTTGCCGAGAAGTCTGGACATGGTAACCTGACTGCTGGGTTTCATTTATTCAAATATACTGTGGAAAGGTTGCAGCTGCACAGCAGGTGAGAATAACAAAAACAGACTTCCCCACCCCTGAATTAATGAATCCCATGTGTCACTCCAAGCATGATTCTTGGGCAAGCAGCATCAGAATCATTTACCAACTTGTCAGAAATGTGGACGTTTGAGCCCTATTCCTGATCGAGTCTGTTAGAGCCTCCAGTTGGAGCTTCTACCTCTGCATTTTTAGGAAGATCATTAGGTGCTTTTATAGCCATTAACATTTGAAACGCATTGATTCAGTGCATAAAGTAACCTAACCTGGAGAGAAGCATCTTACAAATGAGGAAATTGAGGTTGATTGAATTCCTCAACTTCCCTTAGTGATGGTTCTGCTCAGGAGCCTTGCCTGCTGCTCCTCCATCGCCAACACCTGTGACTACCTTATTAGGTGCCGAGGTGCCAAATCCCAACGTAGGCATGAGGTGTCCATCATTCAGTTTTACAGAGAAAAGTCTCAGTTGATTCATCTCTTCACTCTTGTGGCTAAGTTAACACTGGTTTTCTTCTTGACCAAAAGAAATCTGCAGATAGAAGAAAATGGTAGAATTGTTTTTGATTTTTGCTGTTGCACGTTTAGGATTTTCTATATATAAGATCATATCACCTACAGAAATAATTGCACTTTTTCCTTTCTGACTTGGATGCCATTCATTCCTTTTTCTTTCATTTCTTAAATATCTTATTTTTGCATAGAGAACTGGGGTATAGGCCAGAGGTGCAGGGGGTGAGAGGACTCACCAGAGAAAGAATGGGGAGCAAAATAGGCAGATTGACTGAAATACACTGCTAAGGGCAAGATAGGAGAGGACTGCTGTGCCATGTGGGTCACCTCCCTGGCCAGGGATCAGACTCAGGCCACAGCTGTGATAGCACTCAGATTTAACCCTTAGGCCACCAGGGAGGCCCTAATTCCTTTTTTTTTTTTTGACTACTCTGACTAAAATTTGCAGTACTACATTGAATAGAACTGATATGGGCATCCTTGGCTTGTGTCAGACCCAGATGCTATGCTCCCCTTTAGTTCTTCTGCTTGCTTTTTACAATTAGGTATTCTGATGTTGAATGTATGTGTGTTTATAATTTTTGTATCTTGGTGGGTTGACCCTTTAATTATTACATAATTATTATATAATGTCTGTCTTTATATCTTGAAACAAAGTTTTGGGTGTAAGGACTATTAACATTTTGTCTAATGTAGATATAGCACCCTTGTTCTCTTTCCATTACCATTTTCGAGGGATATTTTTTCCCATCCATTAACTGTTAGTGTGTATATGTTCTGTGGTCTTGAATCTCAAGTAAAACTTTCTTTTTCACTTGCACAGGATTTATTGAAAGAGTGCTCTTTGGAGGCAAATGAGGGTAGCAGTATCGGGAAGAAGGAGATAAGCAAAAATATGGTCTCAGCATGGGGTGACCCCATGGAGTGATCTGGAAGACGAATAATACCACAGAATTAATCCCAAAATGGGAGGGGTCAGCCTTTTGCATTTCCATGCTTGAGTTGTTATCTTTAGTCTGGCACAGTCAGGATGAAATCGTCCCAGACAAAGTAGATCCTAATCTCCCTTCTCTTCCCTCCTGTCCTACCTTTCCTACTCTCCCTTTCTTTTTTATTGAGGTAACTATTCAAAACAAAACAAAAAAGAAAATCACAGAACAATTAGTGAACATAGATTTACCTACTTTTGACTTTGTTACCTATTTTTGACTTTGTTACAGAGAAAAGTAAAGATAATGCAATGTCCTACAAACATATTTGGTGTTTCATTGGAAGATTTACTATTAGGAAAAGATATACCTCTCGAAATTACAAAATGTACTTAATAAGTCTGCCCATCCATATAATGCTAGCATAAGAGAGACTCCACAATTGTGTACTTCTTCATTTTCAGTAGAAATTAAGACTTTTAAGATTATGAATCCCAATTAATACATGCAATTTAAACTACTAAGAATAACAAAGGGAAACATTTTTATATACAAGGAAAGTAGAATGTATGTCTTTAGTAAAAATAGGTATTGTTACAGAATGGCTCACTATGAAAGGGGGAGGAGTGTTTCAGTGGCTATAGGAATGGGCACCATTTTCCCCACCCCTTTTCCTTGCTGCCAATACCTCAAACACCTTGGATTACAATTCCCAGCATGCCAGACTGCCAGGATAGGAAGAGGGAAACAATGAGGTAGATACATGTAGATTGTGTGGGTGGGAAGGTGGTGGTAACAGGGAGGAGGGGATACATGTGGGTGGCCACTCCTAGTCCTCAATCTTTGTTGTGTGATTGCTTTGGCAGGTAGACAGTATAGTGGCAGCCATCATCTTAACCTTGGGTGGATTATCCAGATGGATGGTACATTGTGAATTCCAGTGCTTTCCTCTCCCAGCCTTTTGAACCCTTCCCAACCTACTGCTTATTTTTCCCTACCAGATGCCAGGAGGTACTTTCAACTTATGCTCTGAGTTCAGCTCTGGGTTCGGCCTGTTTTGCTGATCTTTTGCCCACCTGGGCATGACTGACTGGAGAGTTGGACTGGGAGTTTGTCCTTCCTCTCTTTCTCTCCCCTCCCCTTTGAACCTCTACCAATTAAAGATCTTTGAGCACACTAGAGTGCTTTCTTCACCTTGTTATGGGGGACCGGGGGAGAGGGGGCAGATTTGTTTTAGAATGGGCCAAATGGGTTTTTTCCCTTAATAGTTTCAGGTCTCAGCAACAACATGAAGCATGAAAGTGTAGTTTGTGTGTGAAAAATTTGTCATAATGTAAAGCTGGCTGATTCAGAATGAGAAAGAAAACTTAGTTAAAAATCTGTAAAAAAGAAACATAATAGGTTTGTGGAAAAGGAATCATTAGAACTTTGTGTGTGATCTGGTTGAAAAAGAGTAAACAAATTTGTGTCAAGTGTTTTTAAAATAAGCTTTAATATCAATAGTGTACTTAAGTAAAATTACACCTTAATTTTAATCTTCTGAAGACATTTTCTTAGAAATAGTCAACAAAGTCTGGGACTTTTGGCCTGCCTTTAAGAGGTTTTCATTTGTCCTTTTTTTTTAAGATTATTTATGCATATAATAACTGGGGTACAGGCCAGAAGTGCATGGAGGATGAGAAAATTCACCAGGGACAGAGTGTGGAGCACAATAGTCAGATCCACTGAAATATACTGCTGAGGGGAGCAGCAGGAGAGACAGAAGAGGTCTGCCACGCCATGTGGGTCAGCTCCCTGGCAGGGGATTAGACTCCTGCTGCAGTGGCTGCCCCCCATAGCTCCATAGTGCTGTGTTTGACCCATTGCGTCACCAGGGAGAGCCCGGTTTTCACTTTTTTTTTTTTAAATTTATTTATTTATTCATACAGAACTGGGGTACAGGCCAGAGATGCAGAGGGTGAGAGGATTCACCAGGGACAGAATGGGGAGCAGAAGAGGCAGATCAATGAAGTACACTGCTGAGGGGAGCAGCGGGCGGGTCAGGAGAGGTCTGCCGCGCCATGTGGTCACCTCCGGGGCAGGTGGGAATCGAACTCATGCGGAAGCGGCTTTAGATTCTCAGTGCTGTGCTTTAACCCGCTGTGCCACCAGGGAGGGCCCCTTTCACTTGTCTTTTAAGTCATATGCCTAAGTGACATCTGGAGGTAATGTAAATTGCTATGAGTCACAAGTAAAGGGAAAAAATATTTTATCAAAATAGGTCCTTATATTTCATTATTAATTTCTCTGGTTACTTAGAAGAGCTGTCTTTTCTATTAAGAGAGATAAGACA